ACACACACACACGCACACACACACACCTGTAGAAGCTGTTAACTGGTGCGTGTGAATTGGCCTCACAGTTTAGGTTACATACAGCACAACAGGTGCAGCTACTACATTACCACAGGTAATGTCTCAAACTTTGCCCGTCTGGTAAAGGAAGTGTGTGCGTTCCTGCATATGTTGCTATAGCTCCATTTGTGCATTGCATATATGCGTGAGTGTGGAGTGTGCATATATTGCAGGCATTTGCACGCGGTATGGTGTGGTGGAAAATTGCGGGTGCCCCACAGGGGACAAAGTGCATGCATTGTTTCCCGCCACCACTGGCCTGTTGAAACAGAGAACACGCCAGTCACAGTATAAAAAGAGGTGGGTTGGTTCAGATGCCTCGAACTGGAACGCAGATGCCTGTCAGGTAATTCCACCCTCGTCTTACAGAACCTGGACTGGCCTTGATCCCAACCGTGAAGATACATTAGACTGGAAGCTGGTCAGCTTATGGTGCGTTCAGGTCATGTGGGAAATCTGATTGCTGCAATAGCTGCATGTATCATTGGGAAGTTTTTGGTTTACAGAAGGCATGCAGAAGGCATCACAGATGACCCTCATGTGTCTCCCTCCAATGTCCTTCTTTACCCAATGGATAAATGAGGACAGTGTATATGTATCTCTAACAGTAGGTAAAAAGTAGAGTGTAGCCTAATGCATGTGCCAGGGGCCAGGTTTTCACTGCCTAAGGACTAAAAGATGTAAGTAGTCAACATGCATGCACATGTTAAATTATTACATCCACATGTTAAATTAAAAAATTAGATAAACAACATACATATCTTAAGCATATTTTATTTTAACAGACTGTATCCAAAAGATGGATGCGGTCACCTATTGGTTTCCAGACTCAGTTCCAGACTCCCAGACTGCTGCCATTTTAGTTTTTGAAGCCAGAAAATATCAAATTGGTTTGAGAGGGTTACAAGCTGAATCATAAACTGTTCAGGTGCAGCACACATATTTGCTAGTAATTTTCACTCACCAAAAATACAGCACACAATCCTTCGATAGTCTGTACCTCAAAACAAGCAATAATATTTGTTAAAATAATTTAATTTAAAATGCTCCAAGAGGCACCGAGACTGCAAACATGGTCAAGAGGTCCAAATCAATGTCTTGAGTGGAGGCAAAGCTTTAAACCTTACAGTCTAACTCTAGGATGAGGTGGATAATATTCCCCCCCCCGTGTAGTTCATAGGATTAAACAAAAACTGTTATTTGAACCAAGAGGTTCATGGTCATTGACTTGCTGTTGCCTCAAGTGGCCATTAGAGGAACTGCATTTGCACATTGATTTCATTTGTTAGTGCTGGAGTTTGCCTCTTGAACGATCCTCTATTGTCTGTTTTTATAAAATTATACTGAGATTTCACTTTCTGTTGACTTTTTTACTCATGTAGCATGTCACAAACATTGAATTGGCTGTCTCTGTAACACTTAACTGCATTTTCCAAGGTAAATAGTCCCAGTGGGGTACCGTCAACATATTAAATAACCACTGATAGAGTGTAATGAAATGTAAGTGGTGGATATGAGGAATGTTTCTCATCACTGACCTGACAACAGAGCAGACGTTGTGTAGGCAGGAGTAGTCCAGAAACGTTGTGCTGCATGCTAAAAGTCACTGTTTTTGTCCACTTATTTGGCGCTGATGTCTTTTCCATAAGACATGTTGCACTTTAGTTGCTAACTTTTTGTCTTTTTTCCTGTGTGTGTGTCTCTCTCTCTCTCCAGTTTGTGGTGTTTACTTTCTGGAGCCTCTACCTGTATGACAGAGAACTGGTCTACCCCAAATTACTGGACAACTTCATTCCTCAGTGGCTCAACCACGGCATGGTGAGTTGGATTTTCTCTACAGATGTTGTGGTTCAACTGATCATACGACTTACTGAGATTACAACACATAAGGCAGAGTTGTAGAGGTAGATGGTGAAGGAAAGTGATGAGATGCAGTAAATGTTTTTAAATTCATTGGATTAATATAAAGTGATCATCAAGGTCTGAAAGAAATGGAAAGAAGTAAATTTTCCTCTTCTTCTCAACTTTAGATAAATAATAATGAACACTGAATGATTAAAGAAACAAAGAATCGCTCAAATTAATAATTAAAAAAAGTCACTGAAGACGGCTTTTAAATTCTGCTGCTATCTGCCGATATGAATTAGTTTCACCAGTGTAATACAAGAAGCCATTCCTTTCATCCACACATGAATTGAAGGTAACGTATTTCCATATTTTTCCATGATAAGAATCATTCTCCTGGCCTGGAGCAGTCCAAATTAGAGTTGAGTGCTTCAAATTAACTGTAAAATTATTTGGATACATACCCATAGAAACACTTTTTTTTCTTCGTAGCTTCTTCTGTATGAAGGGTATTTCCTCAGTCTTGAGCACATCAACATGCAGTTAGCCAGAGCAGCTTTTCCTCACAAACTTTTTCAACATGTGTCTGAGATGTTGGGACCAATATTTCAGCTTTTCTGGGATTCAACCATTTGTATTGTAACGGCTTTATCTAACCTCATAATACATCAAAGAAGAACGCGAGGAACATGTAAGTTTAATCTTTCCTTTTTAGGCTTTCAGGTGTAGGATTTTCAGATGATAGTGGGAGTTCAGAGTTGGATGAAATAAAAGTTTCCTAAAATCAAAATGTGCATTTTAGGAATGTAATTTATTTTGACACAGCTCACCGAGTGAAAGATAATTACCATTCAAACAAAGGTTTCCTGTCTTCTTTACACTTTTGTCAGCACATATTTTGAAACCACCATCTGCCCGCCCTGCTCTGAAATAGGTGTTTTCCCTCGTGAGGGAGAAGTGAGAAATGAGAAGGGTATCCCCAGTATGTTGATAGGCTTTATATAACTTTAATGGAAGGTATTGTGGAAAATATTGTGGAACATATCTGAGCAGACCAGTAAAACCATTTTATGTTTGGGAACTAGAGTCCTCCCCTTTTCTAGAGCTGAAATAATAGCCTAACGCTTAGCCATTAGCATCCTGGAGCCAGAATTAACCACGAGCAGTTGAGATATCAGCGAGTGGTAGGAGCCTGATCAGCAACCTGTGTCTATAAACTGTATGGATGCACTGTGTAGACTAACCGTAAACTGCACATCAAAGTTGTAACTTCATGAAGGGGTCCAGTTGAGTTACTAGAAGTAGCTGATGCAGCTGGTGAACCACGTCGCTAATAATCCAAACGTTTTAAATGAGTGAGTTGGTGCAACATCTGCCCAATCTCTAAAGACCAAAACCATTAAACATGTTTATTTCTGCAGTTACATTAGCTTTTTTAACATGAGTGTCTGTGGGGATTGACATACATTTTTGAGCCAGCCTCTAGTGGTCATTAGAGGAACTGCAGCTTTTGGGACTTAATTTGAACCATTAAGATTTCTTTCACTCCATGTTGTTCATAGGGGTCACTGAAGCCTATGGCAGCTCTCATAGAGTGAAAGGTGGGGTGTACACCCTGGACACGTGGTTTGGTGGTCACAGGGCTAACACAGAGAGACAGCTACATGCTTACATCCACACATGTGGCTGATTCAAAAGCTTGTCTTGGGACTGTGGAAGCCTGAGAACCCACACAGACTTCAGGAAAGTGTGTAAACTCCACACCGACAGGCTGTGTCTCTGTCTAGTATTTACAAAAAGACATTACAAGTTCTAGATTCATCTGATTTGAAGCTGAGAGGGAGAATTTGTCCTCAAGTTAAGAAAATAAAATGGTTAGAAATGTGATCCCATTTGTCTCAAGTCAGAGCTAAAGAACTTTTAAATAAATTGAGGATCTCTGTGTCGAATAATAGATGTTCAAAGACGTAAAATGTAAAGCAGAGACAGGCAATGTCTAAAAGTTTTTATCTTTTTTGCACAGTATCTGGCACTTTGGGTAAGCACATCAAGTGCAGGACTCATACATCTTTCCCCTGGCATGCATTTGCCTCAGGACCGTCATGGGAACCTGGAGGATGTTTGAGAAACCCTCTCCTCAGCCTGCTGTGGAAGAAGTGGCACTAAACAGTTTTATTGATTGATGAATTGCCATATTAGGTTTCTATATGGCAGGACATGTAAAGCTGGTCCTCCTTGGGTTATTAGTCATGTCAGTGGATCATAACTCCATAAACCTTGATAAATCTTATCAGTGGAGAACACTGGTGCTGGTGAACCTCTAAATTTGAATAGAGCGAGCGGCGGGTCGCTTTGATTTGTCATCTAGAGGAAGCAGGTTTAATCTCATGTTTAGACAACGACCAGCACACCACACCTCCTGGCTGATAGTACTGTCAGCTGTGTGTGTTGCGAGTGATAATCGGAAAATTTTCCAGAACTCTGTCTGTGATATGCAAAACCTCATGAAACTTCCTGCAGCCAGAAAGTGATCCACAGAGGCGTGTGAGGTGATCGTTCCCGTTAACGCTTGCTGAAATGAAAAAGAAAAGATGGTGTGTGTGTGTGTGTGTGTGCGTGTGTGTGTGTAGTTTGATGTATCATACTCCAGGAGTTGATGTAATAGAATTGTTGCTATGGTGCCATCGCCAAAGACCAAAACAACCAGAGCACTACCAAAGCCTTCGTGCATGCGTGTCCCTTAGACACAGAAAACGTGAGGAGTCTTTTGTATGTATGTGTGTGTGTGTGTGTGTGTGAGTCCAGTGTGGTTGTAAATATTTTGCGGTATTCCATGGTATCACTGTTGTTTGTTTATCTGGGCTACCACGGCAACCATATGGCCGTTCCCATTGGAGGAGGGAAGGGTTGAGTGATGTTGATCGAGGGAGAAAGAGGAGACATGATATTGTAATAATGTGTCTGACTCTCACAGCTAGAAGCTAATTGGAAGTTAACAAAAAGAAGAATGCCTGCAGGCTCGTAACTGAACTGTTGTGATTTATCCGCTGTTTGCTAATGCTCATTATGCAATGAGTTTATACACACAGATTGCAGATTGCTTTCTTTTGTCATTGGCAGGCTTGGGTTTGGGATTAAAGTTAAGTGTGTTTCCCCTCAGTTGACTGCACAAGGGGGATGGGTGGGTACAGAAATGAGAAAGAGACTTATTTTGCCCTGTTGTTTGATTCAGATTAACCATGCTTGGGGTGCTTTTGCTAAACTTGCAGTAATAGAATAACTAATGTTACTGATTGCTCTGCTATTTTAGCAGTGCTGTGCAAAGTGGGGTGGATATTTGGTGGCAGTATCAGGGACAGGTTTATCAGCCAAGAGACCACGGTTCATTTCCTGTTTCGAATGTGGTGCTCTTTGTTTCTTTAACTCGTAGATTCATTTTCTTTTCATCTTAGTTTTACTTGGTTCTCATCCCGTGATGGGGCCCTGAGACTGTGGTACGCCACCCTTTTGGACCTTGGTGTTTTGCAGCTTGTTCTCCTTTTTACTGTTGCTTCCACTCGTTAATTTAGTTAAGGCACAGTTTGTGCAACTTAAATTTTATTTTAATGTCAATCTTGACCCATTTAAAAGTGCAGCTCGAACTCTCATTTTTCCATTTTTAAGATGCAAGAAAATAAAAGCAACTGCATGAGAGGGAATCAAAAAAACGAAAAAAAAAATATCACCCGATTTATCAGAATCACTGAATATTAGCATCAGTATCAGTCTTAAGTATGCTACATTAGGTGGGCTCTAATAAATCATTCCTTTTCTTAAAGGGATGTTCATGTATTTTATGTAAAACCAGCATCTTAGATACATTTTTTAAGCCCTGGACGTGGACTGGCTTGGTTCTGCATTATGTGTAAGAGGAGGTAAGAATTAACTTCATATATCAGAGAAGCTGATAAACCTATAACTGCAAGAAAATTAGTTTATTTTATTGTTAATATTCAATTTAATAAAAGAAAAGTTCCTTCTTACTCACCATTTACAAGAGAGGTTTGTTTCTTTATAATGTTGATAAAGTGAGAGGTATTATTAAAATTGCCTTTTTTTCACAAGACATTTCAGACATTTCTTTACACTGAAAGCAACAATTCAGAGGTCTTTTTTTATAGGTTTTACAGGCTGCTTGACTGTGTCTAGTGCTTTTATTATTGTCTTACTGTGCATTTCTTAACAACAGAAGACAAAGTGAAACAAGCAAAACAACTTTGGAAACTAAAGGAAAATAAAATAAAATAAAGATAATTAAGAAAAGATATAAAACTCTAATAAGAAGCGCACACTGTGAAACATGGTAGTCAAGAGTGAAGAGAGAAAGACTTCCAAAGAGCATGCCTGTAAATGACAGCGGCACACAGCAGAGACTCGCACACTGAAGCTGAAATAAATTCAGGAAATGTGGAGAATATAAGTACAAAAAAACACTAAATCTTGATGATATAATTCAGGGATGGGATCCTGTTCCATCATTGTGCTTAGTGTTGGTTTCTAGGGAAACTACACAAATAACAACAAAAACACTGACCATCATTTATTTATTTAATCCTTCATTCCTTGTATACTTAAAACAGAATTGTCCCAGCCTCACAGAGGGTCGGTTTTGCTACATAAGTGTAGCAAAACCAGCAGACTGATAGTGTGTGTGTTTTCTTTTTCTGTTAATCTTGCAGTTTATAAAGGCAAACACACACACACACACACACACACCATGAGGTTTCTCCTAGCAACAGGGGATTATAGCCCCACACTGGGTCTGACACCATTGACTTACGGCACACACACACACACACACACAAACACACAGTCATTGCTTTGTTATTAAAGCTCTTCTGGTTCTGGTTGTGGAGTTTCAGTACACACACACACACACAAACACACACACGCACAGAAGCCTCATTCAGCATCCACACTTAACCTTCATCTCT